ATCTGATTTTAACATAATCATTTTTTGATTACTGAATTATTTAGTTGGAACTGGAATTCTGTCCAGAACTAATTAAATGATTCAATATATTAACATTTGTTCTTGTTTGCTCGAAAATTTGTTATATTTTCAATCGGTAAGTTTTTGAAAAAGCTTTAGAAAAAAGCTAGGTTTTTCAGTTCTCTGTTTTTCTAAACTCGAAAAATTTTGATAGGAGTAGATGGTTTTAGTTTTTGAGTTCCAAATATATAATTTATCTAATCCAAAGGTTGGTCAAAGGTTGTCCCAACAAAATGATGGCATTAAAAGTGATACTATTACTGCTACCATTAATGATAATTAATAGTGAGTTGGGATTTTTTGAAATCTATGATGTATTGAGTTACAATCTATAACTGTAATATGTGGCGATTCTTTTCAGGGGTCAAAGATTGTTAGTTCAAATTCTGTAATAATCGATAATAATATAAACAGAAACTAATGACAAGTTAAAGGAAAGGAAGGAGAAAGTATTTGGAAGATGAAAAGGAGCAATGATAACTATTGTTATAGTAGTTGATATCATTTGCTCGATTTATCAGGCATTGCAAGTGTTCCTTTAATATTCATGTTGAATCTGAAACAGGTGTTAGTGAGAGAGATTATTTACCTTTCTATTACTCTGTGTTCTTCATCACACCACTGATGATCATTATCGTTGCAGTTGTTTTACCATTATCATCATAATCATTATTAACATTTTGATTATCATTGTGATCATCTTTATTATAATTATAATTCATTTTCTGTTTCACCAGTTATTTCAGATTGAGATAAAGTGAAAGTACTGTTTCTCTTGCCATTAATAATGTTTGTTGTGTTTATGTGGTGCTAAAGATTTGGTTTTTAGCCGGAATGATGAAAAATATTTGTATTACTTCGTGAAAAGTGCTGCCTTGTGTGTGTGTGTGTGTGTGTGTGTGTGTGTGTGTGTNNNTGTGTGTGTGTGTGTGTGTGTATGTGTGTGTATGTGTAGGTGAATATGCATCTTCTGAGAGAGTAGTCAGCTGTTGCTCAGTTCCATCGTTACCCACTGCTTTTTCTGAAAACAATTATTCTGTGATGATGAATTGAACTGTTTGCTTCCAAAATTTTTTGGTAGTTCATTTTAAAGGTATGAAATTACACATAAGTGCTATTCTTGTTCATCAATTCTTTTTTCATGCCTTTAAAGCATAACTTTGTATCGAGATTTCCAAAAAGTGTTTAGATATTTTGAAATGAACACCAAAGCACTAAGCATTTGCAGATTACATATATTCTGCAATTTATCAACTTTTCGAGGTTCGTTGTTAGATAATTTAACAATGATAGATATGTGTGCGTATGTATAGTTAGAGGTATTAATCATTTTGTTTTTGAAAATAATTCGACTGAGAATTACTGAAAATCATTCAGAAGAGAGTAGGACTAGAATGAATAGTGCAGATATTTTCATTCTGATTCATTGCTTTCAAAAATTTCATCTCAACTTTGGAGGAAGAAAATGAAAATAAGGAAAAATTTTGGAAGCCGCATTGTAAAAACATGGATTAAACAAAGAAATATTAAAGTAAGTGAGGAAATAAATGAATAATCAGGTAAGTAAATAAAGTACGTAATGAAGTGAATAAATAGCCAAGTGGACGGGTTGTTGGCACTGTAAAAGTAGCTTAGTTTTTGACTGGCCAGATGAGAAAACAGTGTTTCTGCAGGCATAATCTACTATGATATACTGGTAGTGTTGATCAGCTTTGTGATGGGCATTCGTGAAGCCCGCTCTGCTTCCCGCTCTAGGACACAGGGAATTGAGTTGACAGTTAAATTCAACAGCAAATACATATAAATTTTTAAATGATTTAATGCGAATGATTGGATTTAGCTTCGTGAACATTCGAAGTCTTTAGCTGATTGAGAATAAAGATCGATTTCGGTATTGGAATTGATCATGAAATGGAGTACTTTTGAAGTATGAAGTTAAGCAGTAGTATGGAATTAGTGGATAGTAAGAAATCGAAATGTGAAGTGTAAAATGAAAAAATGTTGAAGTTTAACTTCTGGTAAAATATACTTTTATCCCTCTTCCTGTAAATACTGAATGTCATAAGCCTTATTAAAAATCTGACCATTATAATGATCGAAAATGTATCTGATCACTACCAATATTGACGAGACTGAATTAACTCTCCTCATATCTTAGTTTTGAAGATGAAATACTCAGTTTTATTTATCTTCTTGGGTTAATAATAATTTTGGTCATTTGAAGTAAATAATGTTTCGTAGAACTTGTACTAATATTTTGAACTCAACTAATAGTTTGTTATTTTTGAAAATTTTAAATGAATTAGATTTTTAATTTCAGAAATCTTCGAAATAGCTAGCTTTTTAGTTTTGGAAATTCTCGGTTATGCATAACTGCTGCTAATAGAAACACTGTACGATTATAAAACAGTGCTTGTATATCATACCTTTCAGCAATGCTAAATAATATATTCTAAAACTGGTCAGTCGTCACGTTCTTTTTGTTTCTTAATAATTTCACTATTGTGACCTTGATTATATTTCTGTTTACAATAATATCTTTCTGTACAGATGGATTTTCTTCCTGTCTCTTTCTTTTTTTCAAATGAGAGGTATTCTAAAGTTTATGACAACATTGATCTCCTTCCGGAATATTTTACAATTTGTAAATTCGCTTTGCAAATTATGATTTGAAATTATTGTAAAATCGCGTTGATGATTTAATGTGAAAAGCTAAACTGTTAGCAATTTATTCATCATAGGGTTATTGGAAGGAAGAATACAAGATGGCAATGCTCACCGATCGTGATCGTCGTAAGCAAATCAGCGTGCGTGGGATTGCTCAAGTGGAAAATGTCACAAACATAAAAAATTCCTTTAACCGTCATCTTCACTTCTCCATCATCAAGGTTTTCTTGCAGAAGAATTTTATTGACATAATAAAAAATTTTTGTGTAATAAAAGATTTTTTAGGACAGCAATAGCGAAAGAATTGAAATCAAAAGTTTCATTCTGATGAATTGCAAAAATCCGTGCTGAAAAAAATGGAAAATTATGTCCTGTTTTTTTGTTTTTTTAATTTTTGTAGAGACTAAAAAATTTTTATATTTGCTTTATTTAGAAGGTTGTTCCTGGTTTTTCTGTTTTGACATTTGTCCCTGGATTTAATAAATTTTTTTGAATGGACGGGAGGAGGTTTTCGTTTATTTTCTTTTTTATCTTTATTTCGTGGATTTTACAATTTTGGTGCTTTCTTTTTTTATTAGCTTTTTGTCATTTTGTGCCTTGTTTTATAAATTTTTTTGTTAGTTTTCTAAACCAGTTTTAAGTTTTCTCGCCAATTTCATATTATTTTTTGTCGTTTTTTGTTTTTTTCTGGATTTTGTTAATTTTCTTGTGTAATTGTTTCTATTTTCTGATTTTTCTTATTTTTAATTTTCTTATTTTGTTAAGTGTTCTGGATTATATTATTTGATGTAAAGTAAAGGGATTGCTTATCGGCGAAATATATAAGAAAATTATATACTTTATTGGTTGAAAATTTTTCAGAGGAAAGGCAAATATTTGCTCTTCTTTTGCTAATTATTAAATTCCAGGATCGAAATGTAGCAACACCTCGAGATTATTACTTTGCTCTGGCAAATACTGTCAGAGATCATTTAGTGAGCCGATGGATTCGTACGCAGCAATATTACTACGACAAAGATCCAAAAGTACTGGTTTTAAAGTGAAATTTGGTTCCGTGATTGAATTTTCAGGATTTAATTTTCTCTTATAAAAGTTTCTTTCTCATTTCTTGTTTCATTCACCCTTAATTGGAGCGGTTTTTCTAGCGCGTTTACTATCTGTCGTTGGAATTTTACATGGGCCGAACGCTATCCAACACGATGATGAATATCGGTATTCAAGCAGCCATCGATGAAGCTTTGTATCAGGTGGGATTGCATTTCATAGTGTTTCATTTCTGTAATAAACTGTCTGTCATTTATGCTTCGGTCACCAAGAGTGACAGTATTTCGCTATGAAACACGAAAAACAAACTTGAAAAAGTTGTTTCTTTGTAATAATTGGGAATTGAGAGTAGGCATCTATGCTGAACGCAAAAGTTAGCTACTTGTAAATGCTATTGATCATTTCTTCTATGATCGAATTATTTATGATCAGAATTGATTCGCGACGTGATAATATCTATTAAGATTTTCCTAACCATTCAAAGTTTTTCATTGACGTAACTTGGTATCCATCAATTCAGTCTAATTCCTAAGCTTTTTAAGCTCAATTTTACAGGATATCAATCAGGCTTGTGACAGAATCATTTGTTTCATACTTTTCCCGAGCTCTATAATTTATCTTCGGTTGTAGAATTAAGCAGCGTAGCATTTGAACGATGGTAGTATCTCAATGAAATCTGTATTCATCTTTATACTTAACACATTTTATGGAGATCGAAAGTTTTATCTATTGAGTTGATTGTCAAAAGTAATGGCTGTTGCTGAATAGATATAATTCTTATTGGAGCGAAATTTATCTTATCTTTGATTTTTACTGCCTGGAAAATTTATCGCAAAAAATTATCAGTCAAGCTATAATTTAATACGTTAAATTTTGCTTTTTTCCTTCCAGAAATATCTAATGTTTGTTTATTATTCAGTCTTTTTTTCTTTCAAAATTATATCATTTCATACATTTAGTTTTTATTTAGATCGAAATGGAAATAAAATTTTGCATGCTAAAATTTTGTCTTCAATTTTTTAAAAACATAGCTTGGTCTTGATGTGGAAGAACTACAAGAAATCGAAGAAGATGCTGGTCTTGGAAATGGTGGTCTTGGTCGTTTGGCAGCATGTTTCCTCGATTCAATGGCTACGTTGGGTATTGCTGCTTACGGATATGGTTTACGTTACGAATATGGTATTTTCAAGCAACTCATTCGGGATGGTTGGCAAGTATGTCTATTAGTTTATTTATTCAAGAAGTATGTGTCAGCGCAAATATTCACCCTAGGAAAGTTTGCTGTTATGATCAGAAATGTTAATTATTACTTTTGTTTGATGAAAATTCACAAAGATTCCAAACTTTATTTTTGCGTTGCACTTCAGTATGCTGTGATATGCAGACGATCAGAAACTATTACAGAGACATTTTTTCCCTTGTCATAATGAGGGTATGAAGGAGTGACGGATAAGTTATTCGGCAAAAGAAGCATCATGAAAGGACGAAACAAAATTTGCAAATATAAAGGGATAAAGATGCTGTAGGTTGAAGAACCAGACGACTGGTTACGATTTGGAAATCCGTGGGAGAAATCTCGACCGGAATATATGCTACCAATCAATTTTTATGGAAATGTTGAAAAAGATGCAAATGGCAAGGTAAGCAAATATGTTTAATTCTCCATTATTTTTTATGCTGCAGTACACTTTCTGTGGCATTGTACTTTATTTGCAGAATACAGTCTGCGAAATTTTTTTTCACGTTCCCTATTAGATAGAACAATTGATCAGTAAAAAAGATTAATTTTTTTATTATATTGAAAGAAATGCAAGTTAAAATTCCAATTTCAGAGCAAATGGGTTAATACACAGTTGATGTTTGCAATGCCATATGATACACCTGTTCCTGGTTTTCGGAATAATGTTGTAAACACCTTACGTTTATGGTCAGCGAAAGCTGAAAATAAATTCCATTTGAAGTTCTGTATGTCTTCAAAAGTGAAATTTTCATTGAGAATAGTATTTTTTAAATATTTTTAAAATATTGTTGCTTTATATCAATTGAGATCGATGCAAAAGCTGTGATGACTGAAATCTCTATAGTAGTTTGTTAATTTTGCAGTCAATGATGGTGATTATGTGCAGGCAGTGATGGACCGTAATATCTCCGAGAATATTACCCGTGTTTTGTATCCCAATGATAATGTACTATTTCTTTAATACTTCACTTAATAATTATTCATAATAAGCAGATTAAATAATAATCAAATTAGTAAGAATTAGCCAGATATTAATGACCGAAGAAATGAATGAAACAATAATTTGATATACATATATATATATATATATATATATAACTTATTTGGAAAACTAGTATATGTGATAGTTTAGCTATCATGCTGTGCTATTAACGTGGCAAATAAGTGATGTGAGTCTATCGAGTTTTGATATAAGCAATAAAATTCACTGCAAATGTTAATTCATTGCATTAATCATTTATAAGACAGGGTGGGCTGATTTTTAGGTTTTCATTGGCAAAGAACTTCGTCTAAAGCAACAGTATTTCCTGGTAGCAGCGACACTGCAGGATATCATCAGGCGTTTCAAATCAAGCAAATATGGTTGCCGTGATGTTGTTCGATTAAGCTTAGATAATTTTTCTGAAAAGGTGATTACCATTAAATAATATATATTGCTCCCATCCAGTTTCAAGAATAAAATTTGAAATTTGGTTTCAAAGTTTTGGCTCTTGTTCTTTTACAGTTAAATAAATTTCTATCGAAAATAGGCTTGTAATATGGAAAAGTGAACTTTAATTCCTAATTAAAATAAAATTTTATTTGAAATGTCATAATTTTGAATTTGTGTAGATTAAATTACTGTTTTTATTCTCTTATTTCTGGTTGCAATTCAACTGAATGACACTCATCCATCAATTGGTATTCCGGAACTCATACGTTTATTTGTCGACATCGAGGGTTTGTTATAATCATTTCGTTCATCATTATCACTTATCATTAAACAAATTTGACAGTTCCACACAGTTATGATCAATATGATTTCTGACCTTTTGAAAATTTTAATGGAAGAATTGCAATACTTAATTTCAGGATTGCCATTCGACAAAGCTTTCGATATCTGCATAAAAACATTTGCATACACAAATCATACGCTTTTGCCGGAAGCGCTTGAACGATGGCCAGTATCGCTGCTTGGAAATTTACTGCCGAGACATTTGGAAATCATATATCAAATCAATCAGATTTTCATGGACGTAAGTTGCTCTGCTGTACTTCAACAAATGATGTAGCAATTTTACTGATCTGGTTTTGAATTTGGCTCGCTTTCTGAATCAGATTTGTTTAGATTTTTGAATATCTAAAATTTTTTTCGAATTGTAAAAACATAGTTCGAAAATATTTTGGTTCTAAATTCTTTTTTCTGTTCATTCATTTAACTAAATAAGAATGCTGTACTTTTAGGTTTCTAATATTATTCCAAAAAAAAATATATATAGAAATTGAATTGTTAAGGCGGTTTCTGCACGATATCCAGGGGATTTCGATCGTATGCGCCGTATGTCAATTGTGGAAGAAGCGGATGGATTTGGTGAAAAGCGAATTAACATGGCACATTTGTGTATCGTTGGCTCACATGCAGTCAACGGTGTTGCTGCTTTACATTCGGATTTGTTGAAAAAAACCGTGTAAGTTTAATCGAAATCTCTTTTTCATTTTTTGGTTTTAAGTCACTGCTACCATTTTAAACCATCGTTTTAGTTAAATTAACGTTTTATATTCCGTTTAAGATACTGAGCTTCATCTCACTTTTCATTACACTGCTAGCACGAGTGCGTAATGTGCTGAGATGTGAAATGAGGTTTAATCTAATATTTAGATGGTGAAAAACATTCGCACCATGTTTAATTGTTACGCATATAGTGAGACAGGTACTAACACTAGTTTGCACTGATTAAATAGCTTTTATGAACTTCATTTCAGATTCAAAGATTTCTATGAGTTTTTCCCAGATCGATTCCAAAACAAAACCAATGGTATAACACCTCGACGTTGGCTTTTATTATCAAATCCATCTCTTGCTGATGTTATCTGTGAGGTAGGATTTAAGCTTCTTTTCATTAATTTGGCTGGAAAGTATGTCGATTTCCTTAAACTAGAATGGACGATATGTTGATTTTCTTAAAAGAAATTATCCGTCTTTCAAACATCTATTTTATAATCATGGAACAAAAAATTCATGGGTGGAAATTTGTTAAATTAACTTTGCGTTTCTATTTTCAGAAAATCGGGGAAGACTGGATTACGAATCTTGACAAATTGCAAGAATTGAAGGAATTTGCTGGCGATTTAGGCTTTTTGGATTCAATCCGTCGAGTGAAGCAAGAAAATAAAATGCGTTTGGCGCAATATCTCGAAGACGAATATAATGTTAAAATCAACCCGTCTAGTATTTTTGATATTCACGTACGTCATTTTACGTCATCTTTATTTCATCATGACAGAATTTCGGCTATTTTTATTATATCTTTATTACTTTTCAGTAGTTTCCATAGGATAGCAGTGAAACAGTAGCACATGATGAATAACACTGGATATTGAACCTCATTTTTTAGTTATACTTAATGAGTGTATACTTGACGACTTCTTTAAGGTTCATTTTGCAATAATACCTTTATATAAGTTTTTTTTTGTATAAAAAAACTTGTATAAAGGTATTATTGCATAATAATTTTTCAAGTTGCCTGTATTGATAAGCGAATGATATGAATGATTAATTACAGGTTAAGCGAATCCACGAATACAAACGTCAGTTGTTAAACATATTGCACGTTATCACACTTTATAATCGTATTAAAGCTAATCCAAATGCAAATGTTGTTCCGCGTACTGTAGTCTTCGGTGGAAAGGTTGTATTTCTCTCATTTTTTATTTCAAAGCTTTTATGTTTTTCACGTATTTGAACGAAAAATCTGATGGATTGGTTTTTATTATATTTATAAATTTCTGAAGTATGGAAATATTTTTGCAGACTTTTTTTTCTCTAAATTTTTGTCTACAAGATATTAAACTGAAAATAAGCTGGATCTCCTTTTTCTAAGTTCTAGAATCTTTTTACGGATTGTTATTCATTATAGGCAGCTCCAGGATATCACATGGCGAAGCAGATCATCAAGCTAATCAGTTGTGTTGCAGATATAGTAAACCATGATGCAATTGTTGGGAATAAACTGAAGGTTTTAATTTTTTTTAAATAGCAAAGCAAATGTTTCTTTTTATTGTCATTATACGGGAAGACAACAAATGTCTTTTCTTATAATGCCATATTATAAGGGGAAACTCCAAAATTGCTTCGAAAATTGATCATTTCAGGTGATATTTTTGGAAAATTATCGCGTTTCACTTGCAGAAAAAATTATTCCAGCTGCAGATCTTAGTGAACAGATCTCAACTGCTGGTACGGAAGCTAGTGGAACGGGTAACATGAAATTCATGGTTAGCTTTGTAATTCTGTTCTATATTAAGCTCGCAACCGATGGTCTTGTATTGTTCGGTGATTCTTTATCTTTGAATTTCCTGATGGCAGCTTAGTAATAATACCATTTGCTAATTTTTGGCGAATGATGTAAGAGACACATAAAAGTTAAATTTGTATTATACTGATTCTATTTTTGAAGACAATGTATATTGTCAGATATAAAGCTTAGCGATGCACTTAGCTATCAGCTGAATACCAAGATGAAAAGAATTATATATTTTATATATGAAATCTGGAGAAAAAAAAACATGGAGCATTTGTAAATTATGCACTGTAATAAGATCGACAATTATTTAAGCTGAATGGTGCATTAACCATTGGTACACTTGATGGAGCTAATGTAGAAATGTTGGAAGAAATGGGTCGTGAGAATATTTTCATCTTTGGTATGGAAGTTGACGATGTTACTGAACTTAACAAAAGAGGGTAAGTTTGTCAATGAAATATTTAATATTGTATTCTTTTTCCTACATTGCAGCTTGAAAAGAATTTTATTGCTAAAAGTTCTTTCTTTATCATTTATATATCGTTTTTTGCTCATTTTTCAGTTACAATCCAGAAGATTTCATTAAGAGGAGTCCAGAACTTGCAAAAATCGTTGGGCAAATTGAGACCGGTTTCTTCACTCCTGATCAACCTGATTTACTGCAAGATGTTGCGATGGCATTGAAGAAATGGGATCGGTGAGTTCTTTTGCACTTCCATGAAATGTTATTATATGGAATGAAAGATAGATGTTTCTGAAGAATGTGTGAGCAGCATTTTGCACCAAAAAGTTAAAAATAATTTTAAAAAAACACTGTGTGAGACATACTTAAGAGTTCGTTATATAAGGCATTATTATAGAAGATTGAACTGAATATGATTTTCACTTTTCAATCTATTTAATCGAAGAATAAATACATTTGCTTTTGCTTGAACTTTTTTTTAAAGCTTTATGGTGTGTGCTGATTATGATGCATTCATCAAGTGTCAGCTAGAAGTGGAACAAACTTATCAGGTTTGTGTTACTCTAATTTTGAATATTTGTTCCTTGAATTTTCAAACAGAGATCAAGTTAAATTGGAAGCTCTTATTTAATAAAAGTGGTATTTTTAGTTTCATTTGACCTATTAACTCATTTATATGTGTGCATAATTTGACCAGTTTCTTATTTACTTGCTAATAATTTTATATACCAAATGAAATTGTTCCAGAATGTAGACAAATGGACACGTATGACCTTAATGAACATTGCAAGCAGTGGCAAATTCAGTACGGATCGTACAATTGCAGAATATGCTCGGCAAATTTGGGATGTGGTACCGGGCGAACTTAAATTGCCGGCCCCATTCGAAAGTTCTGAACAACAGCAGCAGAATAGCAAATAGCAGCTCAACCGTGTTTTTTTGTTCATAGCACTGCTTTTGATTAGCTATATATAAATAATTTCTGTGTTTTTGATAAGCTTATTGAATGATAGAAATTAACACAGTTTTCCTTGTAGATTTTTCTTGCATCATTTTTTTCTGAAGATCAAGTTATGTAGATTTTTTTTGTTATTTTTCCAAATATTTTGGAACAGGTAATTGAACTTCTCTTTTCTACAATGTTCAATCGCATTGTATTGGAATATATGTTAACAGGTATGGTGTGCCTTTGCAAATGTGCCATGAATTTTTTCAAGTTGAATTTTTCGAATTCATAGTGTGCCTTTTATATGTAATGAATTAGTTTTATGGGTAAAGAACATTTTTTCTACTTGTATCTTTTTTTTCAAGAATAATTGAGCGAAATTATTGGAATCGATTGAAATTGTCGACTCAATACATCATTATCTTTCGCAAATTTTAGGATTTAAAAGATGTTTTTATCTGAATTATTACAGTTAACATTTTATGCTTCATTTATTGCTTTATTTATGAGATCGTCATAGAAATAAAGCTAGCAGACAATCTTCTCATTTCTGATCAATATATTCGACTAGATGTGATGGAAGAGAGTGCTAATTTTGTACCGAATGATTACATAATATTTAAAGGGGATGTGTAGATTACGGAAATACATATAAACAAAAGTATATGAACATGCGGGACTAATACTTTTTGAAATCTTAATCTCATAGAAAGCCTCTATATTGAGAAAATTATTTTCTGGACGTGAATGAATTTTTCAGTTCGAGAAGCTATAATATTTATTTACTAATTCACTTTTTTCTCCTAAATCTCAATGAATGCGATATTAGTAATCTTCTCAGTTTTAATAAATGGTTAAGTAATTAATTTTATTAGCGAGATTTGTTCTCCGTTATACCTTGCCAAATATTATGGCATTAATTTGTGAATTCATACTGTAAATTAGAAATAAACGATTTTTCTGAGTATTATTTTTCTATCCTTGAGTTTAACTATTTGTGAGCTGGATAGTCATTATGAGCAGTTGGCATCATAGAATTGCCCAGATGATTAACGATTAAGGTTAATGGTTGAGTTCAAATAAGGAATAGATAAGGTTCTCCACAATAACAGCGAAAAACAGTTTTTACGAGTGTTGTTTTTGAACAAATTCAAACTATTTCTTTTTGAGCTATAAAATTGGAAGTGCCGATGACAGATTTCCGGTCATAAAAAAAAGTATATGATGGTGGTTCGAGATGTGGTTATCGCGATAATAAAGAGTGGTAGTTATTGCAATTGGGCATGCAGTAGGTGGAAGTATATACTTGATCTTCGAGTAGTTCGTAAAAATTGGTGGTGAGATTTGCATACTCAAATGTAATCCAATGATTTAAGAGAACTTAGCTCGAGCATGTCAGTTCGGCCATCGTCTTCTACGGACGATCCGCCTTCCATGCATTTGGCTGGTGATGAAGATGAACTTCCCAATACCCAGGTAATAATGTGCAAAGTTTATTTTAATTTTGTATCCAACAAATATTAATATGCCTTAATTAATTGCTTAATTTTAGTTATGCATTGATGTTAATCGTATCTGTTACATTTTCGATATCCGTTTAAGTAGCTAACAAGCTGTGTTGATATGAAATTGTAATTAGTTGCTAATAAAAAGCAATAATGCTGATATTTAATTTAATTTAATGATTTTAGATGTTACAACGATATATGGTTGACATTTACGCAATTACTGGTGCAGTGGATGATATTGGAATGGTATATCGGAATTTAAGACCAATATGGGCGAACAATGCTGTTTCGTATTTGGTGGATCCTTGCATCAGAATTTTATCGAAAATTCCAAGTTCCAGGTATGGTCAGTATATTTTTGGGTTTGACGGATATTCATAAGAGGGATAAAATATCTTTTGAATTAGAAGATAATTCATAGAGGGAAATTTTTCATTGCATAAGGATTTTAGGACAATTTTAAATTGGAAATATTTATATCTGATTGCAGAATAATTAGAATTATTAAGTTGTGAAGGTAATCAGGAAGTTATTAAGTATCTGGATTAATTTTCTACTGTTTTCTCTTCCTCTGTTTTTACATCGCGAACTTTGTTAGCATCATTGCTTACTTATAGACCTGCCGTTTTGAATTATATTGGCATGCTGACACATGAAGCAACTCATTTGTATTTGTCGAAAAAGGAAAATCCACATATCGGTTAGATTAATTTATTTCAAAATTTTCACATTAATGAAGGATAGTAAGTAGTATAGGAGAATGGTCATATACAACTGCTGAGCATATTTATGACACCTTCTGGTATTATGTTGGTATTAGAGGTAGCATGAAATTGAATGCTTAGTTGATCATAATTGCTGATTCACTTTTATCTTATCTAATGTTTAAATGAAAGAGAGAGTTTGAAGCGAAGGTAAACTAACTTTATCTCACAAATCCAACCTAGCGCTCTATAATCAATAAGAAAGTGGAGCAGTAATCAGGAAAGGTGCAAAACATCGAAAAACTATATTTTATATCTCATTAGGAATACTGCCATTTGTTTTGTTAAATTGAGATGGCTTAAAGTGTGGAATGTCTAATGTATGGTTGAAGGGAGATTTGTCAGACGCTATTCTTTTAAGAAATGGTATATCTTGCAACAGAATATAATCGGACAACCTTCGAAAGATATCTTGAATTTATGTAATTTCCCGCGATAATGTTGCAGTTTTTCTATTCGATCCCATTTCTTATGAAAAATTTATTTCTTATGAAATAAAAAATTTTTTAATTACGTAAAATATTTATGTCAGTTGAAAAAGGCATAAATTTTCATATTTCAGCAGCCGATACTGCCAACATTGAGCGTGCGGTACGGAAGCTTACAAGTGAATTTCGACGTCTACTGATTAGAACACAATCGAAAGGCTTTGCATTTGATATCCTTGTGGTACATTTTTTTCTTTGTGTTCCCCATTTTCCTTGTCATTTACGGTAACTCTTCCTTTGGTCTGGCCTTCTAAAATTATCGCGTCCTGACAGTTTATCTTATATTTTAACTTGCATGAATCGGAAAAATCTTTGAATATAAATAACGTACAGAGAAGTTGCGGTTTGTCAAGGAATTAAACCACAGGAAGTAGGTTTAAGATGAATTAGGATAGGTTATACATTATTCTGCTTGTCTTAAAGAGTTAATAAACTTGAGGAATATTTTTAACGATTGTGGTCGTTAAAGTGATTGCGGAGTTAACTCGTAAATGATATCTATCTTGCTATCACATTAACTGATTAACTCTAATGGGTTTGATAAGAATAAATGGCATGAGATTTGAAAGAAAATTTTGATTGCAGCTGTTAATAATCAAATTTTGCACTGTTTAATATAAGAAAATTTCATTGGAATTCGAAAAAACTTTGCGTTTTCTTGAAAGTAAGCCTTTCTCTTTTTAGTGGGCCTGTAATTTGTTTGTTGAAATTTGTAAATATAACTACGAACGTCCTATTGCAAAAAATGCCGGCATTACGCCACCTGCTTTACTTGCATTATTTGATTCATGTCCAGCTGTTTCAAGTGTTATCAAATTAACCGATAAGGCGATTACTTTGCTGTGGGTTTTTCTTTAAAATACATATCATATCTGCGTTTCATTTTCTAGATAGGATCATTTTAAATAAAATCATGTAATCATTGCTATTGAATAGTATAGAACTGCTACCGTTTTCCAACAGCTTTTCTGCAGCAAAGTTGAGGAACTTATGGAGTGCTTCAGAATCATGCAAACATGCTGTGATATGACTGCAAGATTAAAGCAAGTACTATAACACAAGATAATGTTTGTGAATGATTAAGAATGAGATTAATATTGTCACTTTTTCCTCTTTTAATTTGAGTAGTAATTTCAGACTAAATACTACACCTGACGAATGTCTCTCTGTACTGATTGATGCTTCTGCTCATGGTTTTTGTTTTGCTTGGATATGGTTACATATTGCGTAAGTTCAAGTGTATTTAGCATTTCGAAAGAAGATTTCAAAAATTTTCATATGTTTTTAATGTTTGATTTTAAGATAAATAATGACAAACAATTGCTTTATTGTGTATAGTATGAAATGAAATTTCAAAATTACAGTTGGTTATAAATTTCGCAACAGATTCTTTTTTAATCTGAATTCAAAATTTTGTTTCAAAAATGTTCTGCTTTGGCAAAACTAGTCTTTTCTTTTGTAGTATTTCATTTCCGGATGCTATTGTTGCGCATTTGTTAAAAATAGGAATACAAGACTTCAAGAACTACCTCAACACAGTACTGGTAATTTTTCAGTTCTTTCTAAACATACTCAAAATTAATTTTAATTGACTCTCAGCTTATGACACATAGGTTAATTAATGTTAATGAGAATAAATTGTGGAGTGGAAACTATTTTCCATTATAAAGAAATCTTTGTTCAGACTCTGAAAACTATTTATTATAGAATTTACATCGTTTATAACTTTCTTTTCCTGCTCATTACTATCATTTTTCATCGAAAGACAGAATAAATTGAATTTTTCTTATTTTTGATTCAAAGCTCATAACCGTGGTCTCATATTTGTTTAGATTAATCAAGTACCTGTGGAGTTCCATGAAAGTTATAAGCAAAAATTTCTATCAATCTGTGATGTCTTTGCTTTTCTTGCAACTCAAAACAATGCTGAATTAAGAAATGCAATGCGAGAAATGATATGCGTATGTTATGCCTGTCCTACAGTAACTTTAAACATTAATTAAGATCAAGTAGAAATGCGAAAACTCAGTTCTTCCACTTATATTTGAGTTGATTAGTTATTCTATTTAAAACAGTAAACGTGTTTACCGATCGAAGCTGATACATTATGAACACAGAATAGTTAACATTAATACATTACATTATTTACAGTGAATTGTTAGCCAATTGTAACAGATTTTTACAGAATGATCGAGAAGTTTTGGAAAATGCAACAACTACCCCAGAACAGTTGCAAAATTTATCGTTACCATTTCTAATTAAAATGGTAGCAAATTCTCCGGATATATTGCGATTTCTGGTGCATAATGTTTACGATTTGGGTTAGTTATCTTTTTTAATTGAGTTAAATATTCCACTAGGAATTTATTAATAGAAATTTCAAAATTTCATATTTTGACTGCATTTTTTAAAGGGATTGTGTAAGATTTTATCTTTTAATGGTCGTCATTGCAAACAGGCTCCCAAGTTTATCACTTATATTTGGAAAATAAAGTTGTGATTTTCTGATGGAAATTTCAGTGACAAGAGGTTTTATTATCAATGGGGCAAAATACATATCACAACTAAACAAGCAATGGCTACTGCCTGTGTTACCGAATACAGAATATACTTATACTGCATTTATGCGTCAAATAACATTTTATTTAAATTCGGATGCTTTAGCACATATCGTGGAACTGATGTTACCAATAGCTTTCAACGATAACATTTTTGAAAGTTTGTAACGTTTCGCTATTTTTCAAATTTGAAATAACAGAAATTAATATGATGTTTATTATTTCAAAAAAAAGCTTCTTGTCGTACATTTTTTTGTCTACATAATATCAGGATTCTGAATATCCTGAGGATTGAGCCTTTTATTGCTATACAGTATTGTGTTGTTTTTCAAATTTTTTCTCAAATTCAAATTTCAGCATGAAGAAGTTGTAGTTTCCGCAAAAAATTCTGTGACTTTAAGAGCCGAAACTAAATTTAATTTTTCAGAATTCGGTAACTACGATCAAGCGTTCCAAATGTCAATGAAAGACAGCGCGTTACAAATTTTGGTAGATTGTAGCAAACTTATATTAAATTATAAAAAAAGCAAGTTTTTTTCTTTTTATGAAATACATGTTAGTTTTTTATCTTTTATTAATTTCTAGACAGAAATCATTGGAATGGTGGTGTCACTGGTTCATAATCAAGCAATGTATAATGTCGGCGAAAGTGCTCTCTTGAAACGGTGTGCGTGTAGTTTTGAAATTCTGGAAGAAACTGTACAAAATTCGATGGCTGGAAGAGAAAGGTTGATATCATTACAGTTCTCATTAATCCATATTAGAACTTGAGTTTTTAGTTTTTTTTAATTGTTTGATCAGAACTAGACCATTGTTCGAGATCATTTTAGTGTTTCTTGGAAAAGTAAATAATTTTAATAAGGTCTTTTGTATTCCTTTGTTGCAGATCAAAATTATTTATTCCATATGTACATGCATTTTGCATTGCTTCTGGTCCTGTACGTACGGCAGAAATTATCGCGAGGTACATTATTGAAGCAAAAGATGAAAGACAAGTGAGAATCGTTATTCAGTTGAAATTTACATATTTCTAGCAAGTGAATTGAAATCAAGAAGCTGTTGCACAAGTTAAAATAATTTTCGATATAAAATATTGAAATTATCGCATTCATTTCTTTTCATATCTGTTCTAAAAAATCGCTTTTAATTTTTCAGCTTACTTGTCTCATTTCGTTATTAGCATCGTTAATTATTTTTGCACCGAATACTTCTGAAGATGCGATGACAAATTTTTTTGCTAATCGTACAACGTTAATGCTCGAGAAGAAACGTAGATCTTCGAAGAAACTTGTTCAAATTAGTAAGTTTATGTCAGTTGGATATTAACTCAAATTTGAAAATTTTTTTGAGACAACGAATCTGAACAAAAAGCTAATTAACTCAACCATTGATCTGAAGATTTTATGTGCATTTCATCTTGCTAACAGTAGCATTGGAAAATCTGAGATTGACTGGTGACTGCAGTTAAGCTGATTGATGATCACTGATAATAATTCCATCATGAAATATCATGTTGTCTTGATTATGGAATTCAAAATCTGTTATCTAAAATATTTGTTCAGATAGTTTGCCTAATGCCACATTCTTCGAAGATGATTTTTATGATGTCAAATGGTTACACAATTTGCGCACTTTAAACGAGTGGGAAAAAGTGTCAGATGATGAACATGTTATCAAATACATAAGGTTGACTGCTTTGAATTTCCTTGAATTTTCTTTTTTTTTTCACCCTTAATAGTATGATTTATTTTTTGAAAGCTTAACTAATAAAAATTTATGATGAACGAAGAAAATGAGTTCTCATCTTCGCAAATGTTTTGATTTAGATTCGAAATGTCAAAGCATTACGGTGAATTGGCGACTGAAGTTTTGAGGTGGACGCTGGATGTTTTATCTAGTTTAAAACGGAACGAAAAGGTAAAATTTTCTGATTTTTATCTTTTAAAAATAACATGAATATATGTTTCATATTAAAGTTATCACGAAGGCTACAAGCCAATAACATTCAATATTTTTTAAGACTTCTTTAAAAAAGATACTAGGATTAAATATTTCAGACTGGAGAATCTATCAAAGCAATGAGGGATTCTGCAGTAGAAGCGACTTTATCATTGTGCTCATCAATAGGACCACCACCGGTTCTCGAGCCAAGATACCCTTACAAATTAAGCGCACAATTTGCATCGTTGATAGTTTTATTGCTTGATTATGTAGGCCGAGGTGGTGTTCCTTCTTGATTTCTTTAATAATTCTTTAATGCATTTTTAAAATTATTTGATACTGTATTGTTTTGGAAATAGAGTACCAAATAATTTTTCGAATTGCTCTAAATCATGAATATTCTCCCATTACCAAAGAATGTAGTTAGTAACTGGGATTTTTGCCACTAAGTTTTTATCTCTATTAAAACAGCTACTGTCACTGCGTTTTGATAAGCTGATGTAATTGTATTTAGCATTATCGTCTGAATCGATTGATAGTACTAGGTGGATTAGATTGGTGAAGTCCTCCAGAAGATATGCTACTCTGATTAATTAAAAAAAGGACATTTAATTAAAAAATTCATTCTTTTTAGGTATACAACGATATCATATAATGACTTTTATATAATTGCAGAAGATGACTCAACAGGATTTCCTTTATTTACAAATGCATGCGCATGTGCTAACGAATTCTTAACTTCACAAGTAGGATACGTTCGAGAGCAATTCATCATTCATTTGCTTGATGAAGCTTTTGCGGTTAGCTATTTTCATGCAGTAAGGAAGGCCTCAAAAGGTTTAATAGCGCAGGATATGAATCAAATCAGTTAGGATTGTTGTTTGTTTTTTTATCACCATTATCTTCACTAAAATCATCTTTTTGTCTTTTGTTCTAAATAAAATCTCTAAAATTTTTGTTTAGAATGAAATTTGAAGTGAAATTTTCATTCAGAATAAAATTTCAGAAAGCATCGCACTTATTTGGTTGCTCGTCACTAAATGCATGGGAAACGGAATTGCAATTTTCGGGCAGTTTTCAGCAAGTAAATCATTCAACTGATGTATTAGATGCTGAAGAAAACGATGAATTGGAAGAATCATTGTTTGATTTAGCTCGAAAATTACCATTATATCAGCAGAAGGCTGTGCATTTGGCACATTCAGGAGTTATTGGTCGAGGAGCGAAGCGAATGGAAGTTAAAAATGTTAAGGTATTATAATTTTGTATTTAATTGTCAGCTCAAGCTAGCGAGTACTATGCAAAGATGTATGGAATGTTTCATACAAGAGAATTCTTGCACATCGTCATTATTTATTGAATATGTTTGACACGTTGACTAATTGATATTTTACATTTTGCTAATTTTCAGCTAAGTTTATTTTATAATTATCTTAAATTTCTGTCCGAAACCATGAAATTTTATATTTCTTTGTAGATTTTCAATATTTGCTTTTTTTAACCAGAGATTTGAAATCAATGAATTAAATGGCATTTTAGAACGGAAATATGATGCGCCGTTTGGTTTTCTTCGAATGCCTCCAACAATTCTGCAGTGCAGTTGGTTCGGATAGAAATTTGATGCCATATCAGCATGTTTACAAGCAACTAGTATTTCTTTTTTTTTGTGATTGCTGAAAAAGGAGTTTTCTTTTTTTCTGTTTTCTACAGTGTATCTCATAAGATGAATAGATCAGTAAGGCACGAAAAAAAATGATCCAGCTGCTGAACTCTATTTGATAGATTAACAAATTAATTCCATCTTTTAATTGCAATTAAAGATCAGTGTGTTTTCTCAAACTATCACTAGTTGGGAATACGGGTAATATTCATGTTCATTTTGTAAATTTTGCTTCCGTTTATCGTTAATTTTACAGGCAATACGATTAACGGATCGAGTTTGCAAAGATGGTCTTGCCGCTAGTTTTGTTTGGGAAGAGTGGGATCAGGCACGTGAGATTATCCCGAGGTTACTAGTTTTTCCGCGTTAGAGTTTTGAAATTTTTCCACAGATACTGAATCAAATCTTCATTGAAGTTTATCATTGAAAATGTTTTTTCTAAGTATTTCATTATTAGCAAATTTCTTTGCAGTGATGGTTTCAAATGTTTATTAGATGCAATTTTTCTTCTTATAACTATTAATTCACGCATCGCCTTTATTGGGTGTTGGATCGAATCTGATTGATTACAGGAATTTTCCTGCTCAAAAGCGTTTTATATTTTGTAGGTATATCGCAGTTTCGAAAAGACTTGCCGAAATTCCAGTCATGTGGGATGTGATGTTGGCCTTGGCGGAGGTGCATCCTTGTTTGTGGTACTGTTGTCCGCTCTTGAAAGTAAGTACAAATTTCTCCAGTTTTTTCGAAGCATTTTGAATAATTTTCTAACGACATCGAGATATATTGTCTATTCATCATCATTTGCAATTTCCTGTTTATCAGAGATGTTTAAGGTGTATAATATATCTGACAAATGGCAGACGGTAATGGTATATACAACGAAACAGATTAAAAATTTTATCATGAACCTTGCTTAGGCCATAGCATATCACCTTTATGCTACTACACACCCTCATTTTGATTATTTTGACATTCATTTCCTAAATATTTCTGGCAAGCATGTTGTGACTGAACACTTAATTGTTGAAAAATACCAAAAAGTATTCCTCTTTTGAAAAATTCCGAAGAAAAAACTAAAGTTTTTGATACTTTGTTATGATATTTCAGGCGTACCTTGCTGTTATTATGATACAATTTGAAAATTGTTCGGATCAGAAATCTCTACCACGTAAACAACTTACTAGTATGCTTGATAAATGGTTTTTATTAGCTCGTAAGGTTTGTCCATTATTTAACAATTTCGATATATAATATTTCGATATAGAACAATTTTGTCTTAAATGTCCTGTTTATTGTTATACTGAAATACGAATGAATTATTTGTTGCTATAGAACAATATCTGATGTGTTGCTATTTACATTTTATTTAACGATTAATGACATCAGACTCTTCATATTATCAAACAAAGTACTAAAGACTGAAAATCCGAAAATGCCATTCTCAAATTTGATTAATTTATCATAAAATAGAAAAAATTTCATAAATAATAATAGCGAATTTAAGAGATCAAGAAAGGAAAAAATTATGAAAAACATTTTCCCATTTGTCATTCGTGTATAATTCTGTCGAAAGGAACTTAGTTAATGTTGGTTCTAATTTAGTTTGAAATGTTATTCGAATGTTGTCTTATGCTTTGAACTCATCGAGAAAAATAAAATTTTGATAATATTTATTCTTGAGATTTCAGAAAACTGATTGTTTGATATTATTTGTACATATTTTGAATGATTTAATTTTTTAAATGAAATTTCAGGGCCAAATGTTGCCGCAACAGATGGCTTATTATTTTGAATTAATTACGAGGGTGAGCTATCGCGAAGGATTCGTTATTTTACTTGATGTTTGGCAATATTTTCAGGTCATTCCTTTTTTTCTTTATTTCGTAATCCTGAAGTTTTAAATACGCGGTAAAATATTTTCACAAATTTCCTGCTATTATTTTTATATATTTATCTTTTTGGTGCTAATGTTCGTGAGCATCAATTTTTACAGAAACTTGTAGCCAGTCACACGTTTTTTGTCATCTACTGCTTGTGATAAATTATATTTCATTATGGGATTTTCCATTTTAACATATCTTACGACCATTAATATTATTAATAACAGTTTGATATGAGATTTGAGTTCGTTCCTATTAAACTTCTATGCTCTGTAACGTATTTCAATTTTTTTCAAGTTCTCAGTAATCAGTATATGATGATGACTTTCTTAGTTATAGTTATTTTGACGAATATTTTAAATCTCAGAGTAATCCTGATTAAGAAAATAGTACTCATGTTATACAACATGCGAGATTGACTGTTAAATCATCTTGCAATGAATTAACAAAAGAAAGATAATGCATGATTCTATTCTTGATTGGAAGGGGATGCGTTCTCTGCACAAATTATATTCATATTAAGTCCGATTTTGAAACTTGAAATGAAATTAATTGGAATTGAAATATTAGTTACTTGTTGATTTGTTGAAAAGCTGAAACTTTTGAAATTAATCTTTTCGTTATAATCAAATCAGAAAGCAAACTGATAAGTTGTTAAGTGATGAGAAATATTGATAGGTCTATAACAGTGAAACAAATAGTCTAACTTCAGAGTGTTTTGGATGCGGAAGTATCAGCGGCGAATATGATCAATGCTGCGTTTGATCGGTCGTTGAATTCATCTATCAATCCTATTGAGGTAAATAAAGTTGTCAAAAATGAATTATTCAGAATCTCTATCCTAAAAACGGTTTCAATTGCAATTTTGCTTAACATAACCAATCCCCTTTATTATGCGAAATGTAAAGTCACAGATTTTAATACAATTTATATACATTCCAATAGCATCCAAAAACTTTCTTTTACTTCTAAAATTACAAGTGTATTTTATTCTCATTCACTAAATAATTCGTTAGGTATGGTATTAGTTCCAAGGTTTAAATAGATATTATATATTTTCTTAACTGAATAATAAACATTTTCAATGTAATGGCCAAAAAATGTGAATTCAACAAAAAAAATTTTTTGGAATACTTAGATGCGCAAGTGTGTTTTTTAATTCATGTTTTCATATCATTAATGATGCGTATTGAGCTTATTTAGATATAACACCATAATTACACTAATTATACATGCATTTAATAAAAAGTAACTTTTGCAGGGTGATCCAATGAAATTCCGCGAATCATGTCGCCTTGTCATACAGCGAAATATTGCAAAGCTCGGTTTTATTTTTCCACTAATATTTGCCGATGAGCTGAATTAACGATCTGTATTTCCGATGAGAACGGAGGTTCAACGCGGACAGTCTGAATTAATTAGTCCATCAAGTTAAATTTCTGCATATTTGCGCTTTTTTCTCATCGAATAAGTCGTCACCTTTCCATCTGAAGCTATAGTTTATCATAGTATGTGCTCACTCTACATTTTAATGCCTCAGTAATTTTTTGTTTTCAAAAGTGGCCAGGTGATGAATTTAATTCTGCCATTTATTTTCAATTTTCTTTTAGAATTATTCTCTCTATTTTAAAACATGAATTGGAGCTTAGAAGGTCTTTTTGCTCGTTTTTTTTTTGTTAGTTTTGCATTTTAAAAATTATAACTAGCTATCCGTTTATTTTTTACTAATCAGATATGTTAGAATAAATTAATATCTCTTTCTTATTTTATTTTATGTTTAATGGGAATATTTTATTGATCTCATGTAATTTCATTATAAATGTTCATGCTTGTCATTCATTTAATTAAAGAACATTCCTTCAGCTTTTATTTATTTTTTATTCAATAGAAGATAGTATAAATTTGAATTTGAGTTAGTTTTTTGAGAAATCTTAGTGCTAAAGATTTTGCTATTATATGTTTATCATTGATTAAACTCATTTCATTAGTATTCTTTTTCCGTTAAAAAACAACAATTTTGTTGTTCTGCAAAAACTAAAAAGATGACATTACATTGCAGTCCTCTTGTATTTACCAACAAATGATTTGAAATTTATTATGTAGCACTCTTCGATATTTCCTAGCAAATTTCTTTTGTCAATAAATCAAGTGATAGGTAAAAGGAGGAGTAAATGAAAAAAATGGACGTCTAAACATTACCATAATTCTTTTCATATTCAAGACCTTGACTGTAAGCAGACGAAATCTCCACTTATCTTTGTAGTTTGAAACCCCGTAGTACATATCCAAATTCTTCAAGGCTGAAAAATTTTGTTCAATCTGCAAAAAAAGGACTTAAAATTAAAATTTCGATGGTCTCGCATAATATTGCCATTAGTGAATCGTTCAAGGAGATCGTCCCAACATTTTGTTTCATGAATTAGTTACTTTGACTCATTTGCATAAGAAAGGTTAATTTGTTCGATGATATAAAATGATGAGTGAATGAAAGTGAATGTATTGATGATATTTTTATGATATGCGAACCCGGTTATTAATCGTTGCAATTCCAATTCCTTTCATTCATTTCGCCATTCCTTCTTTATGTTTGTCCATCCTTCTTCTATCCATTTTTTTCGGTCATTACAGTTCGCTTTATATTCAATTATACTTTTTTCTCTTTTGAAATAATTTTTGAAATCATTAAATTATTAGTTGCATTGAAATTCTTTTTATTTCTTTAAATACCACTTCAACAGTTCTCGGCTGCCATTTTCGGTGCTCATAAAATTCAAAAAAGTTTTAAAAAAAAAAATTGTCCTTACTAAAAAACGAATTATCATTACTAATTGGAAAACAGGATGCAACTTGAATTATTTCAGAAATATTTAAATCCCTATTACAATAATAGATAGTCGTAACAATTCTCTAATCGGAGAAATTCGAACTTTTTATTAATTTAAAAAATAAGGATTCATTTTATTTGAATTTTACCAAAAAAATAGGAATCGAAAATTTGAAACAGCGTTAATTATTCATTGTTTTAAATTCTGTTATGCATCAATCTATAGACATATATTACCAAAAACTATCCAGACAAGTAAAAAGGACTATCAAAAGAAATGGAAGAAATAATAGCTGAACGAATTATGCAATCATCATCTTTTTATATAGCAGTACTCATAGTGGTATTGAACATCAAAATTGAATTTCCATTATTTGAATAAATTTCAGAAGCAAATTTTAGTTTTTTCCAAAGTATGATAATTGCATATATAAATTGAAATAAAATTCTTTTTCCTTTCCTTTAAAGGAACGAAGGGAAGAGGATTTTTTGAAGGCGAAGAATAAGAGAAAAGCAGAAGGATACATTTTTTTAAGGCAAATCTTAGAATTATATTTGATTGAAATTTAAATTTCCTTTACCCTTAGCTTTCCAAAATTCTCTTCCGTTTGTTCTTTCAAGAAAAGAAAAAGAAAAATATTAATTTTTACGATAATCTTGATCTTTTTTTTAAAATTAAGATTGGGATGCTTTTTTATCCTTTTAAATTTGCTCGCAATTTAGACAATGGAATAATCGAGTGCATACATCTAATGCGTTACCTGCCATGAATTTACATGTACTTTGCTTAGATTATAAAGGTTACTCGATAAAAACAAATACATAATTTAATTGCAATTAAAAAATTGTTAACAAAACACGGAACTGATAGGCCTATCTGTGCATACATTCCCTAATACGAACATTGATAAACTACTAGCTATAATTTTGTTCCTTTTTTTAGATTAATAAGAAGATTGTGATTAACGCTTCTTTAAATATATTTTTGATGATTAAAGTTTAAATATTAAAATAATTATCATCCAAATTCATTATTAATTTATGGCAAATGTTATTGGCATAATTTAGGATTTGGTTATCCAACTAAAACAGAAATTGTTGTTGAGTCCGTATTTTTATTCAATTATGCAAAAAATTTAGCAGGTGAAAATTTTATTTTCATATGAAAACATTCAATGGGATGTGAGTGAGCAGAATTTGTTCGATAATTTTGCAACAAACATATGATATAAGCTATTTGCTTCAAATATTTGCTTAAGCAGTATTTTTTGATGCGCATAAGTAAATGCGTGACTTTTTTACAGTATAAAAATTGAGTGTGAAGCGTATGTCATCAAAAGGCTTAATTCTTGAAGCGTCTTTTAGCAATGCTATCGATCTTCTCATCGGAATTAGCTGCATGCGTCGGACACTTTGCTTTAACGTGTTCGAGCAATCCGTACCACGTGCTGGCCTTCACTTTCATTCCGATATAAATATTAAATCGTAAAATCTTAAATTTTGTTAAAATTCATAAAAATTTTGTTAAAATTAGAAAAAAATTTATCCATCAATGGTTCAATTTTAATCTATAACAGTTGCATAACTGTAGAGTAAGTGGTGTATTTAATGAGGTAAGTTTTTTGGTAGTATATACGCTTCCTGATTGCGAAATTTTTACGGAAAGGTAGAAAGTTTACGTGTTAAATGTCATTTAAGAATATAGCTTAAAGCGACGTTTCCATGAGCGGGTTTTTCATTTTTTTAGTTGGCACATTCAGCTTTTTATTATAGCCATGTGAGTAATGCAAGCTACTTATATTGGAATTACAGGTTAACGTCTCCTATATTGATAGTGCACGTTGTTGATGATGAAGTTATAGCATATCATCAACTAAAAAATTACGTGATACGGTGTTATCAGCAAATCGGAACGTTAGGTTTACTTCATTTGATGACGGATGTGGGCCAGTTTACAAAAATATTAATAAAGCTTCAGAATTACCTTTCATCGTGAAGTTCATTCTCTTTTTATGCTTAAATTGATTCAGATGTCAAGCATATAAAACGATACGACCAATTGTTTCGCAACAGTTTATCTAATTAGTTCTAATTGAGTCGACCATTTAAAGTCGAATTAATGTTGATGTGCACTAAAGTCTGATATTATTTCATTTTAAATAAAATAATATCATACTTTTCTTTGTACTATTTGTTTCAAAAAAGAATGCATAATTCAGAATACTTACTTAAATTAAATCAAAATTTTTTTTTCAAGAATTTTATTCACTCTACTGGGACATAAAAATGCCCCATTCGTCTTCTAAAGATTTTATAACTCGTCGAATTAAATTCAAAAATTGGAATATCCTCCTAATATAGTAAATAAAAATTACTTCCTTTACAGTTTTTTACTTTCTCTAACATCATTATTTAAAGTTGGTAAAAAAGAGCAAAACACTTCCAGCAAAAGATTTAAATTGAAAAATAATTTACAAAACTGAATGTATTATGCATGTACGGTAAGTAATATTAATCAATCTTCTATCGAATATCAAAATGACAACTACTCTTAATGTGTCATCGAGAATCATCGGTGATAAAATGTTGAGAACAGACGTCGGAATTTAACTATGCTAAGATTTTGCCGTGTTCATTTATTTTTTAATGAAATAATAAACACAAATGTTGTCGTCATATAAGTATTTTCCTGATATTTCTATTCAATTCTGCTTTTCAATTTCTTACTTTATAAAGCTGATGTGACAATATTTCTACTTTTACTGTCACTGTTGTTGGTTTTGTTGCTACTGTAATCTTTCATTGTCTGATAAAAAAGATTTAGAACATCGTATTCAACTAATGAAAACAGACACAAAAATTTTTTATGCTTTTTAGTTAAAGGAATTAAATCACTTTCTTTTTTCTTTTTCCGTGTAAAAATTCTGACTAATAATTTTCTTTTATTTACAAATTTTTGATTTCCATTATTATTAATTTTAGTATTATTTAATTTTTTTGATCAACCATTCTAACTTTTTTCCTTTTTAAATAGAATATTGACAAATGTAAAATTAATGATTAATCAATTGCACTCGGCATTATTTTAAAAACGTTGTTGACTTACATTTCCATTATTCATTCTGCAAGTTGTCAGAAAGCTTTCTTTAAGAGTTATATCAAAGTTTTCTTTTTTTCCTCTTATATTCAAGTATACAGTACGTTTTCTTTCCTTCAATATCGAGAAAGAGACAGGTAATTTTTACCCAAAAGAATCAAATACCTTTTTTTGCGCGCAACGGAATGTCGGAACAGCTTCCATTAAAATGATTCATCACGATAAAGATGGAATTCAAAAAGACAAGATTATAGAAGGAAAAAGTATAAATTTAATAATGGTTTTAAATTTAATAAATGTGTCAGACATTAAGATTGTACTAATGATTTGATGTTGAATGGAAATTAGAATAATTCAAAAAAAAAAGAAAAGGGAAGAAACGATATTGAAAGATGAAAATGCATTGCACAGATAAATTGTAAAAGCCTGAGATTCGCGGCTGGAT